GTTGGAGGCAGTTTCCGTCTAGTGGGCATGAGTTTTTCTGTCGGCAGTTGCATTTCTTGTTTTTGTTAGCGGTAGCGTCTGTGGTTGTGGCGGCAGCATTAGTCTTTACGTGGGAAGTCGGGACTCTTATTGTGGTTGTCAATGATTTGTTTTGTCAAGTTGTTCATGCAGCTGTAACTGATCTTGATTGTGTTTCTGTTGGAGATTTTGCGAAGCTTATGGTCTTAGGGGAAGTGTTTGTCTATCAGCGCGAGGATTTTATGCCCGATGTTAGTGCTGGTGTTCTCGCTGAAAGGTGGGTTGTACCAGAGGATGTTGTTGCGTCGACGCTACTTGCGCCGTTGCGTGCGCGTTGGTTCATAGCAAAGTTTGTAGCTGTATCCACTGTCGTCTAGCGCTTTCTGGTAGGCGGGAGTTGCTTGGTCGGAGGAGGCTTTGGCGGATGAGAGAGATGATAAATGTCTGTTAAGACTGGCTGAGATGTTCTTTGTGGCTATCGGTGGGTGGTTGCTCTCGTGGTGGACTTAGGCTTTGTGTATGGTTGGTAGGTGTTTTGGTTGAGGTTAAATGTGACGACTGGAAAGTTGATCACTTGTTTGTTGGCTTCTATGGTGATGCGGAGTCCTTTGGCGTTAAATGTGCGGCATATCTCTTTTTTGATGTTTTTAGTGCCCCTAGGTATAGCGTCAATGGTGGCAAGTTCGTCATCTCGGTATAGTCCAACATTTATTTTAAGATTCTGTAGCTGGGAGAGGAGGAAGTTTCCGACAAGTTCACAGGTGTCAGCACCGTCATAGCTGCCTATAGTTACGTCAAATGTAGTGTTACCTTTTTTTGCCAGGTTTGCTGTTTGTAGGTTAAAGGAGCACTCTGATGAAACCGCCCTATAATTTGAAAACCCTGAAAAATTCAGTTAGTTCATTATAATATGAATTTTTAGCGATTGATGAAGCCTTTTCAATAATAATTTTAGTTGAAAGTCAATTGTAGGGTGAGAAATTACGATTTGAAAACCGTTCCGCCATGAATTTTCGTAATCACTTGCCACTTCCCTGACTAAAGAAGACTGGCGCGAGTTTGGAGATTACTCATTTGACGTGCCTTACTCGTGGCTAGTTTTCAAAAAATGTGTTTTGATCGTATATATTGCTTTTTATAACACTAAGACTAAGACTATTTCACTAAATTTCACGAGGTTTCCGTATAGAAAAAAGTGTGTTGGGTAGTCTACGTCACAATGGGAGTGACCGCTGACCGAAGATGAGTTGCCCGTGATTACGAAAATGAATGGCGGAACGGTTTTCAAATCGTAATTTTTCGCCCTAGAATTGACTTTCAACTAAAACTATTATTGAAATGGCTTTATCAATGGCTAAAAGTTCATATTATAATGAAATAACTGAGTTTTTCGGGTTTTCAAATTATAGGGCGGTTTCATCAGAGTGCTCCTTTAAGCGCGTATGCAAGGTCCCACAATTAAGAAAATAGGATACCTAATCAAACGTAAAATATTAGGTATGAAGAACATAATGGAAAGACAATACTTCTGAACTCGCGACGGTATTCTGTTCCAAGCTGCGTTGCGGGCATAACGCAAGCCAAGTAAATGTGTGTCGAATGTTTAACCAACTGAAGCCTTGCGACAAGCCTGGCTAAAACTGTACATCGAATAAAAGCAGTTTTGCCTTTGTCTGGTTTAAAAAGAGAGATGGTCTACCGCGATCAGACACTCCTTTTTGTGAAAACATTTTATCATCTACCATTGACAACTATTCTGTTGCTTCTTTACATTTAGAACCTATTTAGATGTTATTGCCTTGCAACAATCTTTCCCAGCATTTTCTCCTATCTGTAAATAATCTGTAATTTAAAAATATCTTGAGGAGTGAAAATAATCTATCATATTCTATTCTTTTATCTACAAACACCCAACAATAATATTCTGTAACCCAGCTTTTTTCAATTGCTTTAACGAGAGCAAAGCAATATATTGCTTTTATAGTTGAAAAGAATTTACTGTGCATAAAAAAAATATGTTGAAAACACTCCCAACGTCCAATAAATGACTAAAAAAATAGAACATTTAGTATTTAAGAAGTAATTTATGAGTGACGGAGATATCAGTTTGTTCAGCTTTGTTATGGTTTACATTTAATGGCTCTTATTTTTCCTAGTGGTTAAGAACACGTAACCTTAATTTGAATTCAAATTTTCATTATGTAACACCGACTCTAGCGGTATATATGGATTAATTCACATTTGATAAGACGGATTTGTCAAGCCAAGTCGACGAAGTTATATGAGATTGTATTTTAAGAGATTTCGTACAGTTTGGGAACCTCACCCAAAGTTATAAGTTTAATCTACCCCTCATTCGACGGTTATAGTTAATAGATAAAATCGAACTGTACATTCCAAACACATCAAAAAGCAAATAAAAAAGATATAATTACACAGATACAAGAAAAATATAAGAAAGGTTTAAGAAATGCATTTTGAATGAAGGAGGAAAACAGTTGAAATGAATTCATTTCATTGCCAAATACTCTTTTAGCTNACACGCTCTTCAAATTTTTCGAGACTTTAATTTCCTTGGCCAAAACAAACTTCTTTTCACCATGGATATTACGTCTCTTTACACTGTCATTCCTAATGGCGAAGGCCTTCTGGCCCTTAAACATTTTTTTGATCAACGTACTGTTAAGGAACCTAAATCTGAAACACTACTACGCTTAGCCGAACTAGTGCTCACACTCAATTGTTTTTCATTCGGAAACAACTTCTTCAAACAAACCAATGGTGTAGCCATGGGCACCAAAATGGGACCTAGCTATGCCAATCTTTTTGTAGGTTTTGTCGAACATCAATTTTTCAGCCAATACAACGGGTCCAAACCTGAACTCTACGGTCGCTACATCGACGACTGTATCGGCGCTACCTCCTCTACCAGAGAGGAGCTCACTCAATTCATAACCGCAGTCAATTCTTTTCACCCGGCTCTGAAATATACCTGGGAAATTTCTGACAATTCTTTATCCTTTTTAGACATCAAAGTTTCAATTGAAGGTAACGGTTTATGCACTAGTGTGTATTACAAACCTACAGACTCGCATAATTACTTGTTATATTCGTCTTCGCATCCATCTCACGTTAAGAATTCCATTCCTTTTTCTCAGTTTCTAAGACTTCGTCGTTTATGTAGTGATGACTCTGATTTCCACCACAAATCAGAGTCAATGTGCCAGTTTTTCGATAAACGTGGTTACCCTGTTTCTGTCGTTCAAGCGGGTTACCACCGCGCCCAACTTATTGATCGACATTCAGCACTACAAACGTCGCATAAGGAAGATTCCGACCGCATTCCATTCACTCTCACGTTTCACCCTCACAACCACTCAGTTAAATCCATCATTCTTAAAAACTTTAAATTACTTCAAAACGATCCAGAGACAAGCACTATCTTTTCGCAGCCTCCGCTCATTTCATTCAAACGCGACAAAAACATAGGCAATTTTTTGGTCAGAAGTTCTTTTCAGACTAATGACCAACCAGGCACTTTTAAATGCGCTCGTGCACGATGCAAAACGTGTCCTTTCATTCACAACACTGATAAAATATCGGGACCTAAACGATCCATTAAGATCACCGATCACTTCACGTGCACCTCCGCCAATGTAATCTATTGCATAACTTGCACTTATTGCAAAAAGATATACATCGGCGAAACAGGCAGAAGACTAGGTGACCGATTCCGAGAACACCTTCGAGACGTGGAAAGGAATGACTAGGACACATCGAAACCAGTCGCTAGACATTTTAATTTACCTAATCATTCTAAGCAACATATGTCAATCTGCGGTCTTTCCTTGCACTTAGGTAGCACGGAAAGCCGTAAAAATCTTGAACAAAAGCTCATCTTTCAAACCGGCAGTCTAAATTCCACAGGGATCAAGGATTGCTTTTCATTCCACTAATTTATTCATGTTTTTCGCGTTGCCATGTTCCCATCAATAACGTAGCTCCATTTTCTGCTTTTAAAAGCACACACAACCCACAATTCCTCTATTCGCTCCGACGAAGGGCTAACGCTCGAGACGTCAGCTTTTGTAATCGTTACGGTGGCCAATTTACCATTTCAACTTTGTTGAGATATCCAAATTATATCTATTTGAGTCATCGCAGTACAACTTCATAATCCCTTGTAGGCTATGACCTGACTTAAACGACTAACAAAATGATGCAGAGCGATCGATGACCGGCAGCTTGAATAGCGCACTAATCGAACAATACACAAGTCATGTCTGAATGACCACACTTGCTTTAGGACTCAACTAGGAAATGACACAGGAGTAAATAAAAGTCTAGTTTAGTGTTTCGGAAACAACTGCAAAGGAAGACAAGGCAACACTTACGTGGAACAACGTTAGGGAACCTATTTTTGACAACGTTTGCCGGCATAAATGCTTGCTTTGCTTCCTCTTGAGAAGCCTCGGCGTCTGTTACAAGCTCCAAGCGCTACAACACATAATTGAAAAAAGTAGTGTCATTGCATGGGCATTTTAAAAGTTTATTCCAAATTCTCTGGGTTCGTCTTTTGCAATCCGTTTTAATCCTCTCAATCCTAAGCCATTAGCTTCAGTCCTAGTTTATTGTTGTTTCTTTAGTGTTTTGGTTTTTTACCGAACTAATATATTACTGCCTCCTTGAGGATTAAGGTAGTGTTTTTTATTAGCCCCAAACACACACACAAAAATGTAAATAAATAGAAAAGTGACACAAAGTGTACGTGAAAAGGTTAATTGCAGGCATTCTTGATGAACAAAAGCACACTTGATGTAAAGTTTGATATTTAAGTCTGATTTGTTGGTGAGACAGTTGCTAGTTGTCGAGATTCTTTTATCCTTATAAGTGTATAAGAAATATGAAGACAAGGTTAAAAAGTCAAAGACACATTTTGAAAAGAATCCTCAGAATCAAGTGATGCACTATCCTGCAGGTATTAACGTCTGCTCACAGTTTACAACATACAAAAGCAAATTTAGTTACTAGGAATAGTTACTAGTTACCTTAAACTCTTGCTCATATCCAGTCTTTTTGGATGATTTATGTACCATGGTAAGCTTGTTCATTGTAATTCGTAGGTCCTGAGGGACAATCTCTGTATTTCCACATACCAAAGCTTCCATCACTGCTTGATGCAAGAAAACATACTGGTCCTATACAAAGACAAAGTCAATACCAGTACTGTTAAGAGC